CAACTCCCAGAATTCCCCAGCAAGCATGGCTGGCTGGGGAATTCTGGGAGTTGAAGTCTATATATCTTAAAGGTGCTAAGGTTGAGAAACACTGGGCTAGGTTATCTGATGTGAAAAATAAATCCAGCCTATTTTATGAGGTTTCACCGGTACATTCAAAGAAACTGAAATATTTGCTATGAGGGGAAAAATGTTTTTATTGGCATATTGGAAACAATACGGGCAATAGTCAATTCAACAATAAAACATCCCACTTGGAAATCACCAGCTTTGCCTGAGGTGGAAAATTTTGAAACATTTTCCAGCCCACATCTCTATTTTAAGCTGGCTTTTAAATTATGTTAAACCTAATTCCTCCCCAGGGGTGTCCATTGGGAGGAGTTAGGGGTGAGGGTGGTGTTCCAAAAAAGTCAAGATGGCACCTATGCAATTAAGGCTCTGCCTCTTTTACATATATCACACATGCGATCCATCTAAAAAATAGGGGTTTTTTTACCCCCCGACTCCTCCCCCCATCTCAGGAAAAACAAATCTTGACCCTGCCACTTTGCATCATTAATTCATCCCTGCTTATTAAAATTTGCCTACTCCTATGGAAGCCCCATGACAGCCATTTTTCATTGAAGCTGATGACAGTTTTTCAAATTTCTAGACTTCTCTATATGCTCCAAGAAGTTGGGGGACCATCATAAAAAATGTATAGATCCTGTGTATACCGACAATTTTTTTGCCATTATTAGGAGCAAAACACTATTTGGAGCTCACAATCCAAACTGAGTTCATCTGTATCTTAATCAGATACTGGTAAATATTCCCACTTGCTGCAGAAAAAGACCATTTACAGTGGTCCAATAGGAGAAGGTCAAGGAATAAACACATCTAGACCACATCTACCCATTTCACAGATGGCAGCTACCAAAACTAAGGGCCATTCCTCATTTGTACCTAACAGAGCAAATAAAGTACAAACATGTCCTGGCAATACCTTTTTTCTGATGTGTCCCCAAGATGTTGCCTTCATCTCAACTCCAGCCCATTTCCCTTAGCTGTTTTGTAATATTTTCCCTTATTCCAATATGCTCTAAGTACAGCTTGAACGTATGCAAAACCTGCTCGGCTTTTTCACCCTCTCCTCTGAAGGGAAGTTAATTGCATGTAGTGACTAGCAGCAGAGGCAACCGAGGCAGGATAGGAATCAAATCAGTTCAAATATTTATTCTGGTCACTGAGCGGCAGAAAGGTAGGCTCTACCATAGGGTCCACAATTTCATGCCAGGACTTTCCTGCCGGTTGGAGGCTAGGTGGATTAGTACATGAACTCAACAGCAGGGGAAGACAGCTCATGAGCAAGGACAGCTTTTGACATTGCTGCCAAGGAGGCAAGGTCTGTGGTTTGCCTCCAGAAATGCGAGCAGGCCCCAGACATCTACATGTCAAGTCATGCACGTGCACCTTATGATCAGGAAATGAAGTTCATGGGAAACAGTTTTTTAACGTATAAACTTCAGACATACAAAAAGACAAGGCGGGATAACCAGATGAAAAACAAGAGAACCAGATTACAGGCAAAGGCAATGGACCCACCCCAGCCTGGAGTGGCTGTTCCTGACTGAGCAGAAGTCAGGTTGCACAAGGGCCTCTTTTACCTGGGCATGTACCTCAAAGCATGTGCT